CATGGTGTATCACTATGACCAGGCGCTGTTCTAACTTTTTGTTGCTGTTGTTTGTTTTTAAATCCTCACCTGAGGATATTTTTTTTTTCATTTATCTTCAGATACAGTGGGAGAGAGAGAGAAAGAAATAAAACGAGAAACACTGATGAGAGAGACACATCTACTGGTTGCCTCCCAAAGTACCCCGGGGAACCAAACTGCAACCAAGGTACATGCCCTTGATCCGAATCGAACCCGTGACTCTTTGGTCTGCGGGCTAATGCTCCAACAGCCAAACAGGCCAGGGTCAGTCCTAAGTATTTTATGTATATTAACCTTAATCTTCATAAGAATTCTAGGAGATAATAGTATTACCCTTTATCCTCATTTTAGACCGAGGACCCTGTGGCACAGGGTTAAGTTACTTGACTGATGGCACCAGCCAGTAGGTGGCAGAACAGGGGCTTGAACTCAGGTTGGCTCCAGAATTCCTGTGTTTAGCTGTGACCACAAGCTGTCCCCTCTTAAAAGTTACTTGTTTTTACTCCTACCTTTTTGCAGTACATAGTAGACCTGGCAGAATTTGAAGTAGAAAAATGTAGGTTTCAATCTTAAATTTCCTCTGCAAACCTGGTCAGTTTACATACTGAAGCTTAGATTATTTTTCTTTGCAAAATGGAAATAGTAATATTTATCCTGCCTACCTCCTAGGTTGCTGAGTAGAATAAATAAAGCAACCTATGTGAAAGCGCTTTGTAAAGAGTTATCAGTTAGGATGTAGCTTCAGCTCTGTGTGATGAAATGTCCCATATCCTAAACTGGGTCACAGCTAGAAGATGGTGGAGCTTGGGCTTGAACCCAGGGTTGCCCACATACGAAACCTGTGCTTCTAACACCACCACCGCACTCACTCCGCTGAGATTTGGTTACTGTAATACTTGATGGTACACCATTTTTTCCTGGGCAGTTTCATTAAAAAGAATGTAAACATAAGTTGTCCTTCAAGAATTTCCCACAAAATGTTTGGCTGGTAGGCCTAAATCAGAAATTCCTACTTCCGACTCACAAACTGAACTAACGGAGCACCAGAGAAAGGTAGGTCAAGCGACAAAATCTATTACGTGGATGTCCAAGCAACCGGAAACACTTGGCGGAGGAAGATTTCTTCTTACCCTGGCAAGCTTGGGGACATTCCAGTCAGGCGCCTTTGAGACTCTGGTGTGGAAAGCAGCTCAAATTCCTCCCCCCCCCCCAAAAGAGACATGTTTATCAGTTTGGGAACACTCCGAGGGTACTCGGGGAAGAGAAAGATAACGGGGCTTCTCCATGTCATATACAGTGATACCTCGGTTCTCGAACGCCTCGGATTTCGACCAAATCAGTATTCGACCAGGAGATTCGAGAAACTTTTGTCTTGGAATCCGAACAAATATTTGGAACTCGAACTTCCGAGATGAGCCGAGTTGAGCCGAATGGCGTTCATTCGGCCCAGCGCGCCTTGCTTGCGTCATCAGTGTGAGTGCAGAGAGAGTCACGCTTTGTGGAGAGAGTCACGCTTTACACTGAATTGAACCCTTAGACATACTGTACATTTTTATTTCTTGTTGAGACTTATGTTTTTCTACATATTATATACAAATTAGGCCAGTAAATAGGCATTTTCTGGGGCTTGGAACGAATTAATCCAGTTTCCATTATTTCCTATTGGGTTTCATTGCTTCGGTTCTTGAACAATTTGGTTCTCGACCGTCCTCCTGGAACGAATTATGTTCGAGAACCGAGGTATCACTGTACTTACTACTTCAAGTAAGGGCTCTCCGTCTTTGGGTAAAAGAGAAAGTAAAAAAAAAAAAAAACAAACTAAAAGAAAAACCATATAAATAAATGTTAGCATTCTCCCTCTTTCCCCTCTAGCAAATCCCTCGCTAAGATTTATAAATCACTGCAATATCGCTAAAGTAGAAAATCTAGAAATCAACCATTAAGTATTGGCCAAGTGTCTCCTATATGATTAGACCATGCGTCAGCCTGGGGTTAGCGGATTCCATGCTTGTAAAACTAACAGGTAAGGTCTTAGAAAGCATTACAAGTCAGATTTTGTGTCACTAAACATAAATGTGATAAACTTCAAGAATGTAAATTCCCCGAATAAAGAAAAAGAAAAAAAAAGTAGATGAAAATGAAAAAGAAAAAAGACATAGAGAAAGTCTGAGCACACAGAGCCCACTCAGGCAGATGTGGTTAACTATACAACATATCTTAAGGAAAATGTGCAAGTCATTACCTGAACCTACTTTTTTTTTTTTATTAATTAATTTTTGTTACAGATGTTTCTCCTTTCCCCCCCACTGATTCCCCCCTCCCTCTCCCTCCCTGCCCTGTCCCCAGTTTGTTGTCCATATCCACTGTTCATGCATACATGCATATAAATTCTGTGATTTATCTCTCCCCCACCACCCCCTCTTCTGGGGATTGTCAGTCTGTACCCCACTTCCACATCTCTGGGACTACCCCATTCCTCAGCCTTGAACCTCCTTTTAATACATATTAATATCAATCTCTGTTCACGTAAAGTAAAAAATGAAGACATGCCCTGGCCGGTTTGGCTCAGCAGTTGGAGTGTCGGTCTGCAGACCAGAGAGTCCTGGGTTCAGTTCCTGCTAGGGGCACAAACCAACCAACCAAACAAACAAACAGAAAAATGAAGACAGTGAGCACCTAATACAGACCTTTTAATTAAAAAATCACAAATACTCTACACCTTTCCCTGGTTATGCTATATCTCTGCCATTTATCCATTTCCCCATTTGCTTCTTCATGAGTTGACTATATGAGGCACTATGAAGGTGAATAAACTGTGGTACCTGCTGTCTGGGCTCAGTGTAAACACTTGATGAGTGGCAATAACTATCATGGAGAAGACAGGAAGAAATTATCATCTCAGCTGAAATACAGGAAGTAGGCATAGCCTAAGGTAGGGTGAGGTAAAGTAGTTGACCACTCTGTTTTGGCAGTCTCTGCTCTGGTCCCCCTTTGCCTGGGTCAGGGAGTACTAGCTGTTCTGCCATGCACTTAAGTCCTCAGTTGTTCCCCTTTGCCACTTCTCACACTATCTTTTGTTCTTCTACAGCAAATGAAAGAAAGTCAAAGGAGCTATTGTGTTGATTAGGGGAAGGAGACAGAGGAAACCATTCTGGCACATTGCTATGCTAGGTCCCCTTTTCTTTAGGCATGGGGGGGGGGAAGGTCTAGCTTCTGATAAAGTGAGACTTTTGTTGCAGAGTCATGTGTGAGCAGTAAGGGACCAGAAAAGCCATCCTCCTTACTTTCCATTTTATAGCTGGGGGACATTAAGGCTTAATAACTTACCTAAGGCCACTCAGCCAATAGTGGCGTTGGTGGGACTGGAACTCAGACTTAACTTCCACAAAGGTTAGAATGGACCAGTGGAACACTCCTAATGCCCTCTTTTGCTAGGTGGGGTGAGGGAGCCAGAGATGGAAATTCCACTTCTACCTTCAGCAACCACTTTAAACTTATGTTCGGGACAATGAGGCAGTCCTTAATTTTTGGTCCTTAAAGAATAATTGATTAACCTACTCATCCCACAGTCTTTTGTTTCTTAAGGCAAACCACACCAAGACCATCGCTCAAAGGACCTATATTTTCATGTCTTTTACCATTTTTGTTACTCTTTCCATAAAAGTGACTCGTTTCTCTATATCCTTTTGAAAATGTGGTGACTCAATCTGAACCTAGAGCTTTCAAGATTTGTTTTGGTGAAGTAAAACGATGTCTTTATGCTCTGCCTTTCAATGCATACTACTTTGACTTTTGTTTTTGTTTGTTATTAAATTTTTTTAAAAAATCTTATTTTCAATGTGTCAGTAAGGACTTAGAGATATTTATATTATTAATTTAGTTCTCTTCTTTGTCTCCTTCTTCTTTCCATTTGTCAGCTTTTCACTAATGACCAGGTGGCAGATACATGGCAAGAAAAGTAATCACCTTCTAACGGGATTTGGAATAGAATTAAGGCATATCTTGGGCCCTTCCTGTTCCAGTTTAGCAGCCCAAGGTCCATGACTGTTCACAGATTAGCTGGTTGGCAACTGCACCCCACAGTATCTCAGGGGCTGGATTCTCTTTTCGGCCCCTAGGCAGTGAATTTTGTGAGATTTAGTACTAGAGTTTATCAAAGACAGAGCTTGGGTTTGTGATTGAAACTGGCCAACCCAGCCCAGGACGCCCAGTGAGGCAAATGCATCTCTTATTTTCAAGGTGATGACACTGGTCTAGAATGCCTCAAGGTCAACGAGTCCATCCTGCCAGACTAGCTCCTGCTTCGGGACGCCTCTGAACTTCTGACACGCCTCCGTGTGCTAAGCTGATGCGGCGGTGGTCATTTGAAGGGGTATTGCTGAGTGCTGTCCATAGCCAGCAGGCGGCTTCAGTCTTACCACTTGTTCGGTGACAAGTCCACAAGTTCTCACCCCTCACATCCAGGCACGTAGCTCGTCCCTCCTCCACCTCTCTCGTCCTTTCCTCTAGCCGGCCCAGCTCGCACCTTTTCTCAATGCTCCCACCTGTGTGCATGCAGAGATGGGGCGGAGCCATGGAGGCTCGTGACGTCATTCCTGGGAGGGGGAGGCGGGGCTGTGGGAACCGCAGTGCAGCGCAGAGGGGCGGGGCGGGGAGGGGCTTACGGCGCGTGACCTGGCTGCGGGAGGCCGGAACCCGGAGAAAGGTGTAGGGGGGCCGGGACAAGCAGAGTCCGGAGGCGGGGCAGGGAGTGGCGGGGCCCAGGCGGCGGGCGCCCGGCTTAGCTCTAAATCGGGTCACGCTTCCTTCTTCCCTCCCCGCTCCTTCTTCTCTTCTCACCTGGGCCTCTGCGTGGGGACGCGCACCTGGCAACCAGTGGCCGCGCTCCGCCGCGTCTCCGCCTTCCCTGCTCGGGCCGGGCGCCCCGAGCTGCCCGCACGCACCGGAGCCCGGCCCCGGCCCCCGCGCCCGCCCGCTCCCCTCCGCCGCACTCGCTGGAGGCGGCCTCGAGCGCTCGCTCGTTGATGCCGTTTTGGGGGTGACCTGGCGCGGCGGCCGCGCCTCCGTGGTGGAGGCGTGTTAGTGGCCGCGGCTCTGCTGGACGTGGAGTGCGCTGCTGCCGGGTGAAGGGAGGCCAGCCGGCGAGACCCCGTGCGCAGTTCGGGTTTCGGGGCGCTGGAGGCCGCCACGGCCGCACGGAAGCGGGAGATGTTGGAGCTGAGGCACCGGGGAGGCTGCCCCGGCCCCGGGGGAGCATTGGCGCCGCCGCCCCGCGAGGGAGTGGCGGCTGGCGGCGACCACGAAACCGAGAGCACCAGTGACAAAGTAAGGAGAGGCGCACACCCACGCCGCGGCCGGGTCCTGGCTTGGGCGGGACACCTGGGAACAAGGGTGGGGTCCACGGAATGCAGGTGGAGCTGTGGGCTCTCGCTGCGCCTTCGCCCGGCCTGGATTATTTCCCCGCTGCTAGAGTGGGGGAGAACCCGGACCCCACGGATGGTGCGTTTGACCGCGGCCGCTGCTGGGTCATTCAACTCGACTACAATTTAGTTTCTTTCATTCCCGTCGCTCGCCCTCCCTGGGGTCTGGGGCCGACGCTAGTATCTCGATGGGACCCGCAGGCACCTTAGGAGCAGCTTAGCCGCCACCTCACACCTCTTCTCGGTGAAGAAACAAAGTTAGTGAGGGCTAAACTTAAGACAAACACCTGGGGTTCTAACATGTTATTGGATCCCGACGCCGGAGGCTTGGCTTCTCGCGCTCCCACATCAGCACTTTCGTTTCCTCTGCCCTTTTTCAGTGGGATAGATTTTGGAGGTATAAGAGTATCTTACACGTGACACTGTTGAATCCTCCTGTTTTGAGTCCACGGCAGGCACTGTAGTTCTTCTGTCTACCAGTAGATTTCATTTGACCTGACAGGAGGCTACTTGAGGACTTTTAACTCCTATTTTTATGGATTACCCTTGCTTCACATTAAGAATAAGTAGATATAATACCATTATTCTACTGAACGGTAGAAAGAGTCAAAGTTTAGGTTATTTGTTAATGCAGTGGTGAAGGTAGGAATTTGGGGGAAGAAACAAACGCTGTGTTATGACCTTTTAGACTGGATGGTTTAGATAATTGGGCCAGAGAATAGATGTTTTATAAAATCTTCTGTTAATAAAATTTTATTTTATTTTAGAAGCTCAAAGCACTTACACTATTCCTAGAAGCATTCTTTCTTGGAAGCAGGTATTGCAGTTTGAATTACAGAAGTGAAGTGTATTCCCCAAGGTCAAGTTAGTGGCCTTTTGGAACTAGAACCTGTCTCCTGATTCCCTTTCTTCTGGTTTGTACTGTTGCTGAGACTCACTGGCAGTTCTGATTTGGTGAGGGTTCCACCTGGAACTTGATGTTGATGAACTTGACATAATCCAAGTCACAAAGCCCTGTTAAGAACATATCACATGATATCATGAAATAATTAATTCAACAGTGTTTTCAGGACTGAAGCTTTGGAATCAATGAGAGAACGTCTCCTTTATTTATTTTTCCCTACCTTTGATAGCTGGGAATTAAATAGAGTCTGTAAGAGAACATATGTGGCAAGGAATTACACAAAATATTACAGTTGCCAGCGTTTGAAGGTTGATGTTACAAAGCTAGAAACAGTGGGCTGTGAGAATAGTCTTTGTGGAAACTGCCTTGGAAACTAGACCAAAAATAGAATTAATTAGGTTGGGACTTGTTTTGCTTTAGCACTGGTAGAATCAAGGAAATACCAGCACCCCCTGTGTGGACTTCCTCAACTAGAAGAAGCTAACAAGATTTTAATAAGAGAAAACGTGTTCAGGAAGCCATGCATAAAATGCATTTTGAAGTAATTTAGTTTCTTAACACCCTAATGTGTTTAAAATGGAAACTGTTTCTATGGTTTGATTGAACTCTTTAGAACTGTTGTCTCTGTAACTAGGTTACCTCACCATTTATTTATTTATTTATTTATTTACGCTGCACTTGGTTTTCATTCACATATACCCAGCTGTATTTTGTTTTCTGAGAGTAGACGTTGCCATATGTAACCTCTTGAGATTTCTTAGAGAGGATGAACATATTCAGACTGTGACTCAAATATTGCTATGCTTATCACAAGGAACTCTTGTCTTGGCAAGCTCTGAGACATTGAACTCTATCCTCTGTCCTTTCTTATCAGGGTGTACATTGGAATGCACCTGTATTTCCAGGTCAAGGGCTATTTTAAAATCAGTTTGCACATCAGAGACTGGTTAATATTTGGTCCAATTAAGTTCTTTAAGTGCTTCCTCTGCTCAGGTTGTGGTAAAGGCAAAACACTTGGGGAATTAATGAAAGAAGTGGGGGAGTTGCCTTATAGTCTGCGATTATAGTACACTCCCATGTCTTTTCATAGTGGTGTTATTAACATTGGCGCTCTCATTGTTTAGGACCTGGAGACAGCTCAGAGAAGCTCTGTGCTCAGGAGAATTAGCAAGTGAAAAGTGCTGTTTACCTGCAGGGGATGTTCCCTGTGTTAAATGCTGGAGAAATACTTGAGAGATGACAAGACCATCCCTGCAAGGACCCCCCCCCCCAAAAAAAAAATATATGAGTTAGATTTATTAGAAGTCTGAACAAGGTCCATTATACACATCAAGGGCATAGTTGGACTCACATGGAGACAGCAGGAAAATCTTTAAAGAAGAGGTGAGGATTGAGCTTGGAATTGAAAGATGCCTGGGGACTCACCAGGTGGATAGGTGTTGGGGAAGTACATTCTAGGCAAAAAGCTGCTGCTTGAGTCAGCATTCTTAGCCCAGGGCTGTGAAATTAGTTTGGTAATCTTGGAGCATATACTGTGAATTCTTGAGAGTTGGGGTTTGGAGCGGTGGGAGCTTGAGAGTCTTGAGAGGGAGGTTAGGCTTTATTCCATGGACTTTGGGAAGCCGCTGAAAAGTGTTTACAAAGGCATTAGCTTATCATTCAGCAGCAGTCTGGAAAAAGTGTTGGAAGAGGGAGAGACCTGCCATAGAGAAACCAGGTAATGGAGTATTACAAGTGCTATGGATATGAAATGATGAGGGCTTGGAATGAGTCTAGTAGGGGCTGGGGAGAAAGGAGGTATAAAATTTAGATAATGCTGATAGGACCTAAACTAGGTGATCAGTGTAAGACGAATAAAAGAAGAGCATGTCAGGAGACAAGTTGTAATCCACAACTTAAGAGTATTTTAGAAAAAAAGCAAAAATTATTGGGAAGTTTTGCAGAGTAGAAGCAAGCACGAGTGAGTTGGTTGGACAGGGTGTATCATCACTCTGTAAATAGGTGGTTCAAGGTGGTGGTGGAAACTGAAATAAAAGGTCACGTGTGGAAATATCAACTTCTGAGTAGGATTGAGAGGGGAGAGAACCGAAGACAGAGTCCTGGGAGGTGTCTGTGTTTAGAGGAGGGTTGGAGATGTAGGGAAAGAACCAAGCTTATGAGGTCCTGGGAGCTAGGGGAGGGGATGTCATGAATAGTATTTAGTAATGAGGGTGAGGCGTAGAACACTGAGTTGAGCAAAGACCTTAGTAGATGCCAGGTTTTAAGTTGAGGAATGTGAGAGGTGAAATAACTGGTAGTTATTGTCAAGAAGTTCCAACAAAGGGAAAGGAAGGATAGTGGCTAGAGAGGATGGGAGGATCAAGTGAAAATGTCCTTTTTCCTGGGAGGGAAGATTGGCATTTGTGTGAAAGAAGTCAAGAGGAAGTGAAGATGCTGATGTGGATGGGCAGGCCCTAGAGAAAAGAAAGTAGACATTGTGTGGAAAACACAGATGATTGGGGTATCCAAGAAAAGGAATGAAGGGATGGGGGGGGTGCAGAGACATTTCGAAAAGCAGGAGAGGGAAGATCAAAGTGTTTGATGCTTTCAATTTTCTCAGTAAAGTGGGGGTCTCAGAATCATAGAAGTGCAAGGGATCTTAGAAACAGAGTAGTTCAAGCCTATATATTTAAAAATCATAAGCTTGCTGTAGAGTATAGTTGCTGTTGCCCAAGATGACCTAGAACAAGTGGCTGAGCTGGAACTAGAACGCATCTCTGAGGGGACACAGTTGGAGTGTTATTTTAGGGAGTGTGATATGAAATGACCAAGAGGCAACTAACTGCTAACTCAGTAGCAGTAATAGTCATAACAGCTGATGCTTGTAGTGATTTAGAATTCACAGAGTGCTTTAACATCTTACTTTATTCGCTCCTCAGGACAACTCTATGTTTTAGGAGTATCCCCCATTTAATAGCTGAAAATAAGAAAGTCACTGGAAGTGATTTCGACCTGGGAATGCCAAGTCAAGGAGTCAGTGAGGCTGGGACTGAAGTGGTTGACCACACAGTGGGGTGGGCAGGGATGTGGACTGAAGCCCAAAGTGGGTTATTGAAACTCTAGATGGTTCTAGGGGCCTGAGCAATTGCAGGTGAAGCCCAAACCTGATTTACAGGACCAGAGTGGGAGGAGAGGGAGTGCACATGGAAGTTGTGGCTGGTGAAAGGGAAGCACACATTGCAAGTGTCCCTGGTGTGCCTGTATGTGGGGTTGCTGTTTTGATACAGATTTTGGGTTGTGAAGTTGAGGGTGAAAGAATCTGAAAGTCATCCTGGCTGGTGTGACACAGTGGTTGAGCCTCGACCCATGCACCAATAGGTCGCGGGTTCGATTCCTGGTCAGGGCACATGCCCAGGTTGTGGGCCAAATCCCCAGTGGGGGGCAGGCAGGAGGCGGCCAATCGATGTTCTCTCTCATCAATGTTTCTATCGCTTGCTCCCCTCCCTTCTTCTCTCTAAAAAAATCAATAAAGAAAAAAAATAAATAAAAAGAATCTGAAAGTCAGTTAATTTCTCTCCTTCCCTATTTGAGATGTTTGTAGTTTTCTTTCATAAACACGCTACTATTTTTAAAATAAACTTCTAATTTTTGAACATGTGTTTCTGTAAATTCTTCATTTTGGAACACTTCACTGTGGGTTGACTTGGTGTCACTTATAGGTGTAATAAATACTTTATATTTTTATATAAACCTCGGACATTAATAAAATACTAATCTTTAGATCTAGACTCCTAGAATATCATTTTGGCCGATACTCCTGAATTGTTGATCGATTGTTAATATTACCACTAATTAATTTTCCATAGTTCTTTTGTCATTTGCAGCATATTCATTTTATTATTTGACATGTTTTGAATGCTGGCTCCCCAGACATTGCCACAGACTGATAAGACAAGCCTGTGGCTTTGTGCAGTGAGGGAGAACAAACACCTCCACAGAGCTTTGGCAGAGACGTGGAGGGA